ATATCTTGTCCCATCTGTCTGGATCTACTGAAGGATCCGGTGACCACTTCCTGTGGACACAGCTACTGCATGAAGTGTATTAAAGGCTGCTGGGACGGAGAGGATGAGAAGAAGATCCACAGATGCCCTGTGTGCAGGCAGAGCTTCACACCGAGGCCTGTCCTGCTGAAGAACACCATGTTAGCAGCTTTAGTGGAGGAGCTGAAGAAGACTGGATCCCCACCTGCTCCTGCTGATCACTGCTATGCTGGAGCTGAAGATGTGGCCTGTGATGTCTGCACTGGGAGAAAACTGAGAGCCTGTAAATCCTGCCTCGTGTGTCTGGCCTCTTACTGTGACCAACACCTCCAGCCTCATTATGAATCACCTGTCTTTAAGAAACACAAGCTGGCGGAGCCCTCCAAGAAGCTCCAGGAGAACATCTGCTCTCGTCACGACGAGGTCATGAAGCTGTTCTGCCGCACTGATCAGCAGAGTATCTGTTATCTCTGCTCTGTGGACGAACACAAAGGCCACGACACGGTGTCAGCAGCTGCAGAAGCAAAGAGGACTGAGAGGCAGAGAGAGCTGGAGGGGAGTCGACGAAACATCCAGCAGAGAATCCAGGACGGAGAGAAGGAGGTGAAGCTGCTTCAGCAGGAGGTGGAGGCCGTCAATGGCTCTGCTGATAAAGCAGTGGAGGACAGTGAGAAGACGTTCACTGAGCTGATCCGTCTCATGGAGAAGAGAAGCTCTGATGTGAAGCAGCAGGTCAGATCCCAGCAGAAGAGAGAAGTGAGTCGAGTCAGAGAGCTTCAGGAGAAGCTGGAGCAGGAGATCTCTGAGCTGAAGAGGAGAGACGCTGAGCTGAAGCTGCTGCTGTCTCACACAGAGGATCACAACCAGTTTCTGCTCAGCTACCCCTCACTGCCAGCCCTCAGTGAAGCTACACACTCCTCCAGCATCAACATCCGTCCTCTGAGCTACTTTGAGGACGTGACGGCGGCCCTGTCAGCAGTCAGAGACAAACTACAGGACGTCCTGAGAGAGGAATGGACAAACGTCTCTCCGACTGAAGTGGATGTTTTACTGTCAGCAGCAGAGCCCACCACCAGAGCTGAGTTCTTACAATATTCACAGGAAGTCACTCCGGATCCAAACACAGCAAACACATATCTGGTATTATCTGAGGGGAGCAGAAAAGCAACATTCATGGAAAAACGTCAGTCTTATTCCAGTCACCCAGACAGATTCACTGGATGTTATCCTCAGGTCCTGAGTAGAGAGAGTCTGACTGGACGTTGTTACTGGGAGGTGGAGTGGAGAGGGGGAGGAGTTTTTGTAGCAGTCGCATACAAGGATACCAGCAGAGCAGGGGGGGGAAGTGTATTTGGACACAATGACAAATCATGGTCCTTAGTTTGTAAACAAAACAGTTATTCATTTCGTTACAACCGTATCCTCACTCCCGTCTCAGGTCCTCCGTCCTCCAGAGTAGGAGTGTACCTGGATCACAGAGCAGGTGTTCTGTCCTTCTACAGCGTCTCTGAAGCCATGACTCTCCTCCACAGAGTGCAGACCACATTCACTCAGCCGTTACATGCTGGACTTTATCTTTGTTATAATTGTGGAGACACAGCTGAGTTTTGTAAACTCAAATAGCCTGAAGTCATTGGAGGAACTCTTCTACTTCTTAAACTCACCGTGTGTCCTTCAGAGCTGATTCTCCGTGGCTTCACTGCGCACAAATCAGCTGTCAATCAAACATGATGGGTGGGGCTTCTCATGAGTTGTTCTGTAAGTGTTGGACTTTCTTCCGGCTCCTTCTTGTGTCTGGTTAGCCATGGAGGCTGTCACTGCTCAGGAGGATCCTTGTTCACCTGAACTGATATGTAAACGTTGCTCTAAATATGTGTTGGATATTTCTTTTGATTCATGTTGTTGTTTCTCTTGTAACAAGTCTTCAGAGAGAAAGCAGCAGAGCTTCTTTTATTGTACATATTTTATTCTGGCCACTTTCTAAAACAATAGACATTTATAATCACATGTATTATTCTGACAGATTAAATGTTATTGTTGCCCAAATTAACTACACATGAGTTCCCCAGATGGTTATAACACTTATGTCATCATAACATGTTTATTTAAAATGATATTACTTACTGTCATAATCAATAAGTAAATCATTTATTATTCTCCTGTAAATAGCTTAGTCTTTGCTTGGGAAATAACATGTTATTTTTTTTGTAGACTAGTTGTTGTTGTTGTTGTTGTTGTTATCCAAATAGAAAGTGGGTACTTTGATGTTTTATAGAACATAATTTATCATGATAATAATCAATAAAGAAATCATGTATTCTGTTTGAAATAGCTGAGATTAAACACATTCATGGTGTGGATAAAGTGAAACTGATCATGAAATCATTGAACAGACTTTACTGATGGGATGTGTGATCAAATTAAATGTTTGGATTATTAATAAAGGTTTGTCTTTCAAAAACAAAAACAGGATGTTCTTCTTGTATTATATCAAGGTGCCATACGAAGCTGATGGAGAACATGTGGAAGTGATCTGAGACTAAATTAAGTTCAGCGCAAGTTCAACCAGGAAGGCCGTCTTTACTCTTCATTTACTATTTACATGTAACTACTCTCTCTCCTCTCAATAAGTGATCGGGGGCGTCACTCCCCAGCTTAACCAATCACTTCGCTCTATTCTCACAAGTCTATCATAGCGCTCCTCTAACCCTTTTAAATCTGCTCTCCTCCTCTGCTATGGCGTTTTCTGAAATACTGCGGCGTTTTCTGAAATGCTGTAGTGTTTTGTGAAATGCTGTAGTGTTTTGGGAAATGCTGTAGTGTTTTCTGAAATGCTGTAGTGTTTTCTGAAATGCTGTGGTGTTTTCTGAAATGCTGTAGTGTTTTCTGAAATGCTGTAGTGTTTTCTGAAATGCTGTGGTGTTTTGTGAAATGCTGTAGTGTTTTCTGAAATGCTGTAGTGTTTTCTGAAATGCTGTGGTGTCTTGCACTTCAGGGCCACCGTAATAAACCCTGTTAGCGTCCAGCAAGTTGAGTCTGTCATGTCCAATCACAACATGGAAACATTACAAGTGATCAGGACGAACAGAAAGAGGAAAAGGAAAAGAGAGTTCACTGAAGAGACCAGGAGGGTCAGAGCAGGAGGAAGCCAGGAGGAGATGAAGACATTAGTGAAGAAGAAGAAATGTATGTGAGGAATAAAGATGAAGTACCAGAAAGAGGGACAGAGGCAGATGAAGCTCCAGCTGGACCACATGGTATCTTCTTATTCTCCTTACATATTCCATTACAGCAGCACAATCTAGCGGCTCTTAGTATTGACATATGTATTGAAATGTGTTGCTGCACAGGTCACCTTTAGCTCTCTTAAGAGATGGGTGATGTCATTTGTGCACTTAATTATAACTAAGTACTTTTACTGTACTTACAGTAAACAGAATTCTAGGGTATCATGAGTATTTTCTGCAGTTTTATACTATATTTGAGTTTGTTGGTCTGAACACCTTGTTTAGGGCATGATTTAACAATAAATAGGTTATATAAACAGTATAAAATACCACGTACTGTCGGCCCTCCCATGCCACCCTGGCATGACCTCTTGCCACCCCATGTCAAATGTTCTAGAACTGCCACTGCATACTATTGCAATATACTGCTGGTCAATTATCACTTCAGATCGTTAGTGAATATTAAGTTTTTATTATTATTTTTGTTGTTTCATGTTTTAATTTATATTGCTGTTTTCTATATCAAAGTTACGGTTTAGTTATCTTCAAATTGAATCCAGATTGATGTCCCATGGGCTCTTTGTGTAATGCTGCTGTTTGACCACTAGATGTCACGCTATAATCACAGTCTTAAATTCCAACAAGGAGAAAAAAACATGTCTTGCTCATATTGGCCATGTGATGGGCTCACATTTACAAAAAGAAAACGAGGGCTTTATATTGCTGACGCCATCTCGAGTGTTGGGTGGATAAAGTCGGAAAGTCCAAATAATTTTTTTTTTAAATTCTCTTCAACAAATTCTCTCAGTTGCACGAAGCCAAAACAATGGGAACATTTGCATAAAAACAAATCTGTTCTTAGGTATTTGATTGAACAATACTAAACTGAGCCTTAAGATCACGACTGTTTGTAACATAGGCTATGTCTTAACTATTGTCAAATAAATCAGTCATAGACATTGAAAAAAACAACTCATTAAAACTTTAGGAATAGAAATGGATGCATCAAGCTGTACATTTTAGTGCAGGATATTTCGTGTGGTAGGCCTATTCAGTAACACCGTGAAAGCCTCAGAAGACAAGCCAAAGTAGCCCGTGCTTTCCATGGGTCACATGATCGGTGGACAGTGACGCAGCAGTTAATATTTATAAAGCCGGTTCGGTTCCGTTTGATTCTCTGAATATATTCTCGAGTTGATGATGCATTTTCAACCGATTTAGAGATTAAGTTGAATTGACAGTTAAATCTGACTTAATAAAATGCTAAAATAACACAGTTAGAAGTCTTTCAAAGCATAACTTAAGTGACAGATGAATGCGCCGTGTTGGCCTTGATGTTTTATAAAAATAAATAAATAAATATCACGCTGGTTGTTTAGGACATAGGGAAATATTGCCTGCGTAAAACCTGCGTCATCGGTGCACTTTTGTCTTTTAACGTTTTTTCAATTCACGTGTTATTCAAAAAGGACATTTATAGATAAAGCCGCAACTTTGGATGTGGAGATCACCTAACGTTGTGTTTCTGGTGGTGTTGTCTGAGCTGTGGCTTTCTCTGCCCGATGCGTAAAAGCGAGAATGGTCCGGGGCAGCACCGGCACCGGCAGCCTCAACACACTTTGACAGAAAGAAGCAAGACGGAAAGTGAGAGTGAGTGAGAGTAAGAAAGAGAGTGAGGGAGGGTGGGAGAGAGCCCTCCCCCAGCCAAGTGTCTCCAATGGACCCACTCCTTCATAACCCCACTCTTCTCCAGCTTTTCGCAGATGGCCAAAGTTCCCAAACAGTACGGTGGACCTGCTCACATGGATGACAGGATGAGAGCAGCTAGTTAACTCTTTAACCACTGCTTTGTTTTACTTGCTGTATAGTGAAAGTAGTCAAACACCCTCTGGCGCACGAGGCTACATGTGTGTGTGTGAGCTGGTGATGCCATGCCGCGCAGTCACACCGGAGACGAGAGCAGCGGCACTGGGCTCTGGCTGAAGACCTCGACTGGAAGCAGGGCGCAGGACAACGCACTAAAAGATGTGGAGTCTGGGCGCAGGGCAATGAATAACGCGGGGCGAGTAGGTGACGGTCTCCTGTCTCCTTCCACGGCAGGTGCGTTGGGGTCGGAGAGGAAGCAGGGAGCCCGGCTCAGCCTGCTCGGGAAGCCGCTGATCTACAGCGCGCAGAGCGGCCGCAGGAACGCGCGATACCGGCGGCTCCAGAATTACCTCTACAACGTGTTGGAGAGACCGAGGGAATGGGCGTTCGTCTACCATGCGTTTGTGTGAGTACTCGCACTTTAAATCCTTATATAGCACTTTGCTTCAACACTTTATTCCCCCTGTTCATTCTTTCAAATTAATAGGTTTATTATTACCTGATTTTCCCTTGATGGTAATAACCAGCTTGGGCCACCACACACATGATAGTTTACATTTTGTTGTGGACTCTCTTTTCACTCACACATGCACATCCATGTCTTTCCACCCCAATACACACATTCAGCATAAAAACACATTTTCTGACTGGGTTACTTTTATCTTTCCTACCATTTTTTTTAGACGTTGCCGGTTAAGATGTCCTGGCTATGAGGATAATTGCATTTTATATATATCTAAAATCTGATATCTGTGGATTGAAGTATTGGCTACATCTCTGCATGTCAGTGCGATTTCTTTTGGATGTGATCACCTGTTGCTCCAGCTACAGTGTGCTGTGCATAAAACACGGGAGACACAGACCTGAATTATTTAGAGTTGAATGACTATGAATGCACTACAGGTGTGTATGTGTGTATTGCAGACTCAATTACAACAATGGAGTCAGTAAATGAGACACTGGCCAATCACTTCCAAATTGTTACGCAGCACTAGAAGCTAAAACAGATGTGGGGTTCTTGGAGAAGGCCAACCTGTTAACGAGGGTGAATGTACAGTAACAACCACTTCTGCATTATTTTTTGAATCTTTCATCACTGGTTTAGACATTGGCTTTAAAAAGAGTGGCTCTGGGAAAAGCCCTGGAGGGACACTTTTAAAGCTATATTCAGTTTAAGCTACTGATTTTAAAACTGCCTTCAGTTTACCACAGATAGGTTTCTCTGGTGTGAAATTGCCACCATTTCATTTTAATTATCCTTTTTAGTTTTCTCTCTATCATCCAGATTCATTAACTCATTTGCAGCTTATTGCAAACATGTGAGATGAGCTATTCTGGTTCGTGTCCGTCTAAACAAACACATTGTTGCTCTTCTGCCTGATGCTGTTTTGGTCCCAATGGGATTGTCAACATGACACAAGCTTTCTGTAGACTATATCGATCCACAACTGTTTGTATCTTGGCTGTGCTCGAATCTTTAGAGATAGTGTCTTGTTCTTTGGAATACACTGGTCATCTGCAAAATCCTTTTCTGTGTTGCACTGTTTGCTGTGTTGTTTCTGCACTGCACATCCAAGAGATCACCTGTCAATCAAACGTAGTAGACAATGCTGAGATTTGATTGAGTCTACTCAGTGTTGGAAGCAGTCGATGCTCATGTTAAGTAGTTTTTCAGTTGATTTGAAACACCTGGCAATATAAATCGCATCATATCCTGTGTGACTTTGTTACAATTATTTATATGAACATGTGGCAGATTGTTGGACAGGGAGTTGGTTCATGGAAAAGCAGGCTCTGTTCTTTTAACAGAATACACACTGTATGTCCTGTTTCTCGCTGTCTGCTTTTATATCACTGCATACAGTATATAGACAACAAATACATTATGCATGGATCTATGTATCTGTTTCACACACTTGCTCCAGAACGCCCACCCACCGCCGCATGGTGAGGGTGGTGAAACCCCACATCCCTTCCCGTCCCAGCAGACCTTTTAGAAGGGGAGCGCTGTGAGAAGGAGGAAGTGGAACCGTCAGAGGAGGGGCTGCGAGGCCGGATGTTGACCTTTTATTTGCTCAGACGGGACAGCTGAGGTTGCGGGGGTTAAGTCGTTACATCTGCTCACAACCACGGCCTTACATAAACCATTTAAGTGAGATAAAGAAACATCAGTGAGATTAGGAATATAATCCCATATCGAGAGCACATTGGCAGGAAGATTTGAGGAAAATGCATTTAACGATTCAGATGATAATCAAAGCTGTGTTTTGTTTTCAGTTTGATATGCAGACATATTCTACTCTTTAGCTATTGAATGATATTTACTTTATAATGTTTTCTTGCATTCAATTAATCATTTGGATATGGTATACCAGCTCTAGTGTCGGTGGTACTGATAAATGCAACACCGTAATACATTTGAACTCCCAAAAAATAATGTTTGCAAAGGAAGAGTTTTAATTGAGTTGTTTTGGAGATGACTACAAATGACATCATTAGCCAAACATCGACTTCATGTAAGTAAAGCAGATGTAAACCAAAGATTATTTCCAACAGTCACAGTGAATGTCTGGGATTTAGATTTGAAGAGCAGTTTGTGTTGTTGCAGTCATCTTCATGTACTTACACTTTAGACCTGGTGATTTACAGATAAAGGAATTGTTTTTAAAGGAGTGCAGATTGTTTGCTAATCACAGAACATTTGTACTTGCTTTGCTGTGTTTGTTTTATGGGCATTGACATCTCAGATCAAAGTCAAAAGTCAAAGTCAGCTTTATTGTCAAGAATTCTACATGTTGTACATCCAGAAATATCGAAATATCGTTTCTCGAGGTCCTACAGTGACATATATACATCAAACAACAACAACAAAACAAAAAGGGCCTAGATAACCGGGGTATACAGTTTAAAATGTTAATAATATGTTAAAGTGTTCAGCGGAGATGGCAGAAAAGTGACTGGTGCTGGAGGAGGAAGGTTGGTTTTGTGTGTGTGTGTGTGTGGTGTGTGTGTGTGTGTGTGTGTGTGTGTGTGTGTGGTGTGTGTGTGTGTGTGTGTGTGTGTGGTGTGTGTGTGTGTGTGTGTGTGTGTGTGTGTGTGTGTGTGTGTGTGTGTGTGTGTGTGTGTGTGTGTGTGTGTGTGTGTGTGTGTGTGTGTGTGTGTGTGTGTGTGTGTGTGTGTGTGTGTGTGTCTCAGATGTTAAAATGCCAAGGCACAATGTTAGTGTCAAGTGGACTGTTGTAATAGTATCTACTTACGTGAGTGAACATGTATGTTTTTAGTTTGTCGAAGGATAAATGACGTCCATTAGATGCAACAGGGGTTCTCTGCACTTCCTTTTGAGGGCAAATTCTATTGAGTGATGTCTGACCCGTGTGGTAGACGGACTCCAAAATAAACTCTATGCATTCAACTAATTGTGTTTTAATAGTTTGTCTAAGCAAACCATTTCTTTGTACACATTCAAAACAAGCAGAGAAATGTAAGCATCTCAATCAAATCTGCTAACTCCAAAAACATGGCAGTCTCAATGCGTTTTGGTGCCATTTCACACTGAACTCAATGTGTTGGGGGGAACAGTTTATATTCCTCTTGATTCAGTCAAATTAAATTCAGTCTCTTTTTTTGCGTGAAAAATGCATTTAGCAATCATTTCACCATCTGTTAAATCTTTAAATGCCAAAGTGATTTCTGGTGTGGGATTTATATTGAAACTTTTCCTCATTTGTGGAGTTTCTTTGAAGTCGTCATTTCTGTTTGCTTGAAGTCAACTTTAAGACCTACGGGCAACTGGTATCTAATGTCACTGATCCTAATACATTCTGCTGAACTCATTAAATTCATATACGGCTTTAACCCTCTGGAGTCTAAGGGTATTTTCTCGATTTTTAGATGTTTTCTTAAATCACCTTTTAAATGTATTTATTTCTGTTCAGGACAATCTCTGGGATTGCTATATATGCAAATTACTCACCTTAGAGCACTGTTTGATGAGATAAGTAGCTCAAAAGCTTAAAATTTGACATCCGATTTTCGGAAAATCTTCAAAACTTTTGTGAAAACACAAATTTACTCATGTGATCGAATTGTTTTGGTGTTTTAGATTTGGTTACCAAAGTCTTAGGATCACAAAAGCAGTGAAATATTTGAATTACACTGTATATAAATGTGTAATTCATGTCTAAAATGAAAAACATTAAATTCAAATTTTGAGTAAAACAGGTGTTTATCACTCTACTTTCACCACAGCAGGGACTGAGATACATTAGGACTGAATCATGACTTCATATTACATACCAAGGTTCATGTGATGTGTACAAATACAAATTGAGCATTCAACCTTTTTTTTTCAATCAACAATTTATTATAAATATGTTTTTTTCAACCAACTATTTATATAAATATAAGAAACTGGAAAATCTAACTATTTACAATATTGAACATCAGAATTTTCAAACCAACTATTCATTATAAATGTCAAGACAGTGTCAAGGTCTTTGTCTGTCTTCCAAGACAGTGGGTCTGGCTGCTGTGAAGATGGGGGTGATGGTGCATGGGCTGCTGTGTAGGTGGGGTGTACAAGTGCTATACGAGACCTCCACGAGACCTCCTTGCTGGCTGGGTTGAAGGTGATGGCTGTGGTGGAGCCTTTGTGCTGAGGTGTATCTTGACCTGGTGGCAGCCGCAGATGGAGGTGGAGGCAGCTGTCGTGATGCTGGTCTGCTGGTCCTTGGTGGTGATGGCTCTGGTGAAGGCCCTTGAGCCACGGTAGATCTTGACCTGGGGGCAGGCACAGATGGATGTTCTGGCTGCTGGATAAACGCCGCCTGTGGGCCACTAGGCCCAGGCAGCTGTGAAACATCTCTGTAAAACAAATTAAAATGTAGGACAATAATTACAACTAATTTCATTGAAATAAAGTTCAAGTAAAATGTTGCTCAAGCACAAATAACAATGCACACATAAAAAGAAAGTTTGGGAGGTTGGAGAAGGAGTCTCTCTCGATCTCTCTCTCACTCACACACACACACACACACACACACACACACACACACACACACACACACACACACACAGACACACACACACACACAGACACACACACACACACACACACACACACACACACACACACACACACACTTCCAGTTACTTTACATTCAGTATAAAATCACAGACACACATATACATAGGCTACATCTGATTACAAAGTCTCATCTGTACAGGACGGTAAAATAATAACAGGCACACATATAAATAAATCTATGACAAAGTCTCATCTGCACAGAACAGTATGATAAAATAATCGATGGCAAAAACATGTCACTGTAAATGTCTCCGTTGTGGGACGAATACATGATTAATTTAATCCTCTACACATGTAATCTCACTTTTACACACCAAAAT